TATGAAAAGTATAAGTATATAAAAGTCTTACCAACACACACACACACATGCTATTAAAAGCTTAAACTTCACAATCACTTAGCATATCTATTTAATCAGATGTGAACATGTTTTTTCATTGTGGTCATTGTTTTCATAGTCACTTTTACATTCCTGTTGTTTTAGGTAAAATAGCCATTGACGAGTTGATGAGAATGTGTGACACTCAAAGACAAGACATAAATAAACAAACTGAATGGAAAGACATTGAATCTGTGAGACTGAAGTTACAGACCCTGTGGAAGGTATAAATAATATTTCTCCTCTATTTATTTTGCACAAAAAGTACTAGTTCTAATTCTTTGAGACGTTGAGGTATTTCTTGAATATTGAAACATCTTTCCCTTTGCCTGCTGAGTGAATCTGCTATTGTGTTTTTGTCCGTGTGTATTAGGAGTGTCTTGGCCTGCCAAATGACGTGGTGGTTGAGGAAGATGCACACTTCATGTTAAGTGGAGGAGACTCCCTTCAGGCCCTGCGTCTCTGTGATGAGATCACTGTTGCCATGGGGACAACCTCTGTGGGCCTGCTGGAGGTCATATTAGATGGCTCTTTCTCAGATGTGCTTAGCCACGTCATGACAGAAACACATAATGCAATCCAACCATCAAAGAAAAGAATGCTAGATTATTCAGACTCTGTAGTTTCATCTAAAAGACAACTAAAGAAAATGGCCACAGGGAATGCTACGGAAAGCGCAAAAGGTTCTGTAGTTCCCTCAGTGAGGAGGACTATGGGATTTGTAGTTGTGAGACGAGCTGGTGAGGTTATCCATTGGGGTTGTTTTCAGAAAATGCGAGAGGGAAACTTCTCAGATGCACCGGAGACAAACGAAAGCAAACTTACTGTGACAAATACTTCTGAAGACAATCACTTGGGGTTTTTATCTAATTCGTCACATGAAAGTTATAAGACATGTCAGAAAAATTCTGCTATTCAAAAGGTCACAGAGCACCATGAAGTTACTGAGTCGTTGCCCGTCACTGAGAGCGCAGTTTTAGGTGAGGGCTCCAGAAAAGACTCTTTAGATGTCCTGCCGCTTGGCCTGCGAATCCTCTGGAGCTCAGACACAGGCAGATGTGTGGATGCCTCTCCAGTGCTGCTGCTGGGTCCTGATAAGTCCACTGTGTTCATTGGCTCTCACTCGCACAGATTGCAGGCTCTTGACCTGTTCAACGGAGAGGTCATTTGGGAGCGTATCCTTGGAGATCGGTTAGAGTCTTCTGCTGCCATCTCAAAATGTGGAAGCCTTGTAGCAGTAGGTTTGTACTTGATCTTATAGGAATGTTTAATTGAATTAAAAGAACTAACATAGTTGTAATAAAGTTGTTACTACTTTAGCTTGAATATGGAGTTTTTTTCTTCTTTTTTTAAAAAGTAGATCTTTGAGATTTCAGGGTTAAATTTATAAATCAGTTTATTTGTCATCCACATTTTTAACTTGTGTTTAACGCTTTTCCATAGGCTGCTATGACAGACAAGTGTATTTCCTGGATGTTTCCTGTGGGGTCACAGTGTGGACATTTGAGACGGGGGATGTGGTGAAAAGTTCCCCTACTGTAGACCCTAAAACTGGGCTGATTTTCGCAGGGTCCCATGATGGCTATATTTATGCATTAGACCCACTGGTAATATACAGGAGAAATACTTCTTAGTTTTGTTTATTTGTATTTCTGTAGTGCTCAGTATTCATATTTATTTTTATTATATTACTATATTTATTTTTAGTTACATTTATACTATTACTATTGTGTTTATTTTTATATTTAGTATTATATTCATTTAATGTTTTTATTTTTATATTTTAGTTTGAGTTTTAGTATTTTTGTAATTTGCTTTTGTCATTTTTTTTAGTTTAGTAACTTAATTTATTTTAGTTAGTCTAATTTTAAGGTTACCTTTTTCATCTAATATTTATATTTCATGTTAGTTCAACTTTATTTCAATTAACAAAAAGGATTTTTAATAGTTTTAGCTTTAGTTAACAATAACAACACTGGGGCTAAAACTAAATGTATATTATATTAGCTGTACTTTGTTTTTTGTAAATGTGTTCTTGCAGACAATGTCCCCTTGATATTTCACACACTTGTCTCTATTTCTCCCAGGCTAAGACTTGTAAATGGCAGTACTATTGTGGCGGCGGTGCAGTGTTTTCATCCCCTTGTGTCCAGTTGTCTCCTAGACAGTTATACTGTAGTACTCTGGGTGGGAATCTCCACTGTCTTAATCCAGTAAGTAAATGTTCCTTCTTCACTGGAGTACATGCACAAAAAGCCATACCAGTATTGAGTATTGAAGTTTGAAAGTGTATTAGCCAACTTCTCTGATACAAAAGATCTTGGGAATGAAGTAGGGGTCAGAGGTCATGTTTGAAAGCTAACGTTTGTCTTGTAATTCTCCATTTATTGTCTGTCCAGGACAGTGGAAAGGTCTTGTGGACGTATTCCGGCACTGTCCCGTTTTTCTCATCTCCTCACTGCTCTGATTCCTCTGTCTTCATTGGTTCAGTAAATGGCCATATTATTGGAATAAGCCATTTTGGAGATACGGTGAGAGGAAAATGGAAAAGTACTGAATATATGTGACTTTAACCACGATTTTAAATCTTATTTTTCAAATTATGGTCATTACCACTAGAGCAGTGAACACTAAACGACAACAATGCTCTTTTATTCTAATATGTATATTGCACTCGTTTTTCAAACCTCAGTAATGTTTGTAGTAATATTTTTTTACTTCTCAGATTTCATCCAGTAGACTTTAATTGCCGTTTAGAGAAGATTATGAGAATGTCTACACTGATTTTGAGTTATTTGACCGCATTCTGTGCACCAGTTTGATTTTGTTACATTATTTTGCAGTTATGGGACTTCTCCACTAAAGGACCAATCTTCTCATCGCCATGCATTTCTTCCTTGACATTTTTGACTAATCAGACAATTTCTACAACACCCAGCAGGAGCACATCACCATCACCCAATCACACAGTCACATGTGGGTCACATGACGCTCATGTATACTGTTTAAATGGCAATGATGGATCATTATTGTGGCAGTTCCAGACCACAGGCAAGGTGTTCTCTACTCCATTTGTATTTGACGGCACTCCGTGGGGTTTGAGAACACTAGCTGCTGTGTGCTCCACTGATGGAAAGGTGTGGGTTTTAGATGGAGAAACCGGCACATTGATGGCAACCTTGTCTTTGCCAGGCGAGCTTTTCTCCTCTCCTGTCGTATGGGGGCATAACTTGGTTGTTGGATGTCGTAATGATTATGTTTATTGTCTAGAACTGACCAAAAGGTGATTAATCATAATAATCCATGTCCAGTTGAATAACTAAATTTTTTTGGGTGACTCCCAAAAGTGCTTATTAGACAAAATTATATGGTTATAATCTGCATGCATTGTGTATATATATATATATATATATATATATATATATATATATATATATATATATATATATATATGTGTGTGTGTATATGTATATCCTACAAAATACATTAATGTTTTTAGCATTAATGTTCATGTTTGTTTTTGTGCAAAAAGAGGAATTTTAGTCTGCCGAGTTCAAACAGCTTTCTTTTATTTTCTCTACATATTTCATAACATTTGCGTCACTTTTTCGTTAATGGATTTTTCTAAAGTGAACAAAATAAGTGCAATATCAACAAACCTTTTGTTTCATATCACATACAACACTGTTTGCGCTATGCTATTGCACACGACCAATGTAAAAACAAAGTGACGTGACTGCAGTTCAGGAGATCTCCAAAGGAATACAGTCCGTTTCATTTCACCTCTATACATACATACATACATACAACATTACATTAGATAGTGGAGTCAATGGCTCTGCTGAGAGATCAAGGTTTCCATTTAATATCTTCCATCATTTAGCAAACGCTTTCTATCCAGAACGACTTACAGTTCACCTACAAGGACAATCCCCCCTGGAGTGATCTGGGGTTAGCTGCCTTATTCAAGGACGTAGAGGTGATGCCAGTATAGTCTGTTCGTTCACTCACTGGAAATGTTCCCCTTTTTTTGTTAGGGGCAATTTCATTGGCTAGACCTCTTTTTCTTAATCCCCCCTGGGACATTGCATTTGAAACACTGATCTCCCATCACTTAGTCGTGTCGCGGGTTTTGTTAATTAGCTGTAAAGGTGATGCTAGCACACGCTACGCAAGGATAGCATTGTTATGATACAGCAAGCAGGCAGTTCTACAGAAACAGACGGGTATGGACACTGCAAGAAGTTTTTTCATCAACTGACAACATGGCTCAAGTGCATATATCCTATATTGTCATGGAAACTTGAAGGAAAACTTCAATGTTAGTTAATAACATGAGTAAACAGTGCTGACGTGTCATTATAATGATATTTTTTAAGCAATAGTTAAAATGACAGTACTCACAGTTGTCACGGACACAGTGAAGATCGTTTTACTTTGCCAAGATATCAAATATAATAAGTTAAGAAATTAAAAAAATGACCACGTCTGTCCAGCGGCAATGTCTAACTCATTTTAGTGTACATGAAAAAAAAAAATCCCACCAAATTACAAAACCGTTTCTCCACTTTACATGCTTGTAGGTGGGAGGAGAGAGATTTGTGATGGTTTCAACAACTGTTATTATTGTTAGCCCTTGAAATACTTACCAAAATGGTCACCAAAGTAATAACTGTCTTGTCTTATTTGAAAAAAATTTTACATTTGTACTGAATATGAACCGCTCATATTGTTTTAGTAATATTTAGTATCAACAGTTTGACATGCATTGTACACAGTTAACAGGACCACTGGCGACTACAAAGATATAAAGGGCTGCAACTTCTTGATGAAGATTCTAGGGCTTGTTTGATTGGCTGCAACACAAAATTAAATAAACATACCATTGATGCATGTTATTGCAATAATCCTATGTTGAAAACTGTCATCAACTGATCTGTAGCCAGTCTGAATACTAGTACAATATTTTGTCTTTGTGGAAAAAAATTTTTTTAAACTTAAAAAACAATTATTCGTAAATGTCTGATTGCTTATTATGGACTTTTTATTCAGAGCCAGATGTGAGCTGGAGTGCAGTGATGGTTGACTGATGTGGATGAAGGAGAAAAGACTTATTTGCTTTTTCACTGGGTCAGTAGTAATGTATCACTTGATGATCTGTGGGCAGTCGCTCCAGGCTTTGGCCTTACGCTTGGCTAGGGCAAGCCAGGCTGGCTCGGTAGAAACCTGGGTAGTGTCACCAGGAGGTAAGCGCTTTGTCACATCCTTTGTTGCTGGCGGAGATGGTGTAGAGTCTGTTATTTCAACTTTTAAAAAGAATGAAAAAAAATATGGTTCAGCTGTGATTTCCACATTTTTTGCTTTCATTGTTTACAAATGGATGAACAATTTTAGAGATTGCTCTGTTCTGCATTTTTGTGGTTAGATGTCTCAGTTTTAAAAACATTGAACCATGTTTAAATCCCACTCCCATTCGTACTTTTTTTGTCAGTTCCAATTCAGCTAGGGGTATGTATATGTAATAAATAAATAATCAAAAACCTTCATTACAACTGAGCATAAGACCCAAAGTTACCAAAAATAACCCCAGTATAAAGCTTCTGACAGGAAATATAATCAATTTTCAAATGTTTTTTTTTTTTTTTTTACCTGTGACTGAGCTGGGCAAGGTATTGGCTTTCTTCAAGTTGTCGCGTCGTTCAAAACGGGCCAGGAGTGTGTCTGGTCTTTTATTCTCATCTGCTGTTTGAGGTTTGGGTGGGCTGGAACTTCCATTACCTTTATCCTCTGTGGGACTGACCATTTCAGCCTTTCAGAGACAAATAACACCGATTGCTATTAATACAGAGAAGTTTATTTAGTATAACATTATACCATGCCCAAACCAGGTGCAAGTGGTTTGGGCGACAAGTTTACAACAAGCAAAACTCTCAGCCAATCAGAAGATTGTACTGTGATATTGTTATATTGTAGTTATATGCAGCAGGATTTTGGACCAACGCAATTTCCAAAAGGACAGTGCTACCCAGCACAATATCACAAAAATAGAAACCAAGTGATCAACAAAATGTAATTTGTCGTGGCTGGTAAGATATGTGTAAGAGGTTTTATTGATTGTTGCATTATTACATTGCATCTGGTTAAGACACTGTTAGTACAACTTTACATATAGTACCAGCGGAGTAGCTAGTTATGATAATAGACTCTATGGCTATATTTATGATGTATACATACGCTTTCTCTGTCCCTAGCTTGTTTCTCAGCCAGCTTAGCCTCTCTCTGGCTTCTCCTATCCTCGCGGTTTTGTTGCTGTTCTCTGAAGCCTTTCTGTTTTTGCAGTGCCAGAGTGATCCAAAGTGGTCCTGCCTCTTTCTCCTGTGTCCGTGAGCTGTCCAGAGAGTGCCTGGCCTGCAGAGAGGGTTTTTCTGTGAAGGAGAATAAATTTACGCGTCAAATTGACAAGCGAGACTAGAACCCTCTTTAGAGTCTTCTACTCATCTGTTGTACTCTTTCCCAGGAGAGTAAATATCTTAATTTTCTGAAGGAAATACCAATACTCGTAAGGTATGACAAGAATATTGCTAAATATGGCTATATGATTAAATAGATGCAAAAAAAAAGAAAATACATCACAATTTAGTATGCAGATATTATGACTCCAAATGTTAGAATGGAGAGTGCAAGCGATTCAGATTGAATTCATTGTAAAAAGTTTAATATAGAAGTTTAAGAAATATCAATACAGTGCTGCTTTGCAAGCATTGTAATGAGGTGAAGATCATACAGTTTTAGCTCTACAAGGATTTCCAACCTTTTTTAATGAGTTCTGTCCTGCGATCTGTTTTTTCTCTCCATGGGATGCTGATGGATGGAAAAAATGACTTCTTTTCTTTAAACTCCTCTCCTTGTCCATTTTTCTGGGATACAGATACTGCAACTTTATGATCACTGCTCTTCTCAGTAGATATCTGTTCTGTTTCCCCTGTCCTTTGTGAAATCATGTCTCCTGAAGTCCTTCTGCCAGGTTTTGGGAGAGGAGAGGGTGGAGGAGTGGCACCTTCAGATGGCTTAGGGGAAGTAGCTGGTTTTTGGTAAAGTGGAAGTTTGGGGGCAAAGTTATCGCCTTCAGTACGTACCAAAGGGAGAGTACTTTTGCTAAACTTGCTTCGAAATTCTTTATTGGATGCTACAGAGGTACGAAATTCAATAATCTCTTGTTGTGGAGAAACAGGGCTAGACTTTTCCAAGACTGTAGAAGTATCAGGGTCTTGGTCAATGGAGGTGAGGGGCACTGGGACACCTTCAAAACTGTCTCCTGCACTGTACCTTTTCTTTCTCTTCTCTGCTGATTGTTCATTGTGAAAGCGAAGAGAGTAGTTGGTTCTTCTCAACTTAATTCCAAATGGTGAGGGCTGCTCATCACCACCATGATCCTTCTGATCGCCTTCATCCTTTGTGTCCGAATCTTCTGATTCTGCCTGACTTGGGGACCCAGTCTCGGATCTCTGTGACTTGGGAGATCCATGTGGCGGACTGGGAACGAGAAAGGAGGGGAGGTCTTTGGCAAACATGCATTCTTCAGCACTATCTGCGATGCGAACAACCTTGCTTCCCCTGCTCTGGATCTTGGTACCTAAAGACAGCAATTCTACTTTTTGGACAAAGGGAGTTTCCATAGATGCCGATTCTACTCTCACATCTTCTTCCTGACCAAAAAATTCTGAGTTCCTGTTGGAATCAGGAAATTTCTTCCTGGCTGGTGTGATGGAAAACTTAGCACTCGCTGACATGGTTTTCCTGAGGTTGGTGTGAGAAAATGGCACTGTATTTAGATCCTCACTTATCGGCCTGCGACTCTGATCTGGGTATTCGGGATATTTTCCCTCTTCAGCACCTTTAAAAATTTTGGATCGGATACTTGCCCATTCTGCCAGGACAGCAGCGTTGGATTGGTCTGCAGATAAGGAAGACTCATAAAAGGATTTGGTTTTCCCAGATTTATCGTCTGGAGATGTCTTGATCTTGGTTGGAGGAGTGCCCATGGCTTTTTTGCCCTCCGAAAGGCCAAGAAGTGACTTGCAGGCTGTGTCCTTGATTTGATCGAGATTGACTGCAGTTCCACAAAGTTGGGCTCCTGTCACAAGAATTGCAGTATGTGGGACGTAAAGAGATGAAGACCGAGTTGGTGAATCTGTGCATCCTGGTGAAGAAGCTTTTGCTCCCTCCCTGGTTTCAGCTATTGTTTCGCCCTGTTGGCCAGTTGTTGGAGTAACAGGAGTGAGGTTAACCTTCTGGAAGAGTATCTGCTTCTCGCCCGAGGAGACCTTAAAAGTGAAGGGTCTCTGTCTCTCCTCCATCTCTCTCCATCTCAGTTCCTCTGCTTTTCTTTTCCATTCTGGGTCAGGAGCTCCAGCTGTCTCTTCTTGCTGTTGACTCTTTTTTTCCTCCTCTTCCTGTAGTCTTTTCCTCTCAGCCTCCTCATGGACACGTTCCTCTTCCTCTCTCTGCCGTTTCTCCTCTAACTCTTCAATCCTACGTTGTTCTGCCTCCTCCTCTTTTCTTCTTCTCTCCTCCTGCTCACTTTTTCTTTCCTCTTCTATACGGAGACGCTCCACCTCAAGTTCCTGCTGCCTTCTCTCTTCTGCTCTTCTTTCCTCTTGCTCTTTCTGCATTCTTTTCTCTTCCTCTTGCCTCTTTCGCTCTTCTTCACATCTTAATCTTTGCTCTTCCTCTTCTCTCCTCCTTTTTTCCTCTTCCCTTTTTTTCCTCTCATCTTCTTCTCGCTGCTTCCTCTCCTCTTCCTCCCTTTGCAGTCTTTCCTCTTCCTGTCTACGCCACTTTTCTTGTTCTAGCCTCTGCTCCTCGATTCTCCTTTGTTGTTCCTCCATCTTTCTTTCTTCCTCTTGTTCCCTCCTCTGAAGCTCAAGGCGTTCTAACTCCTCCTCATGAAACTGTCGCCTCACCGATTTCTCAGTAGGTTCATAATCTCCTTTGCTGCTATGGATAATGTTATACTCCTCTCTTGACAAATCAAACACTTCTTCGTCTTTTTGTGTTTCACATTCCTCTTGCATTTCAGAAAGATCCTCCTCTTGAAACTCCTGAAATATATTTAAAGTTGCAGAACTTAATGTTTTGGAGTTATTTTCTCATAAGCAATGGTTCACCCAGAAATTAAAATTTAGTCATGATTTACTCATCCTCATCTCATTCCAAACCTGTATGACTTACTTTCTTCTGCAGACCACAAAGTAAAATATTTTGGAAAATGTCTGTTTTATTTGTTTGTTTTGTTCATACAATCAAAGTTGTCTTGGACCCCATTGACTTGTATGCACAAATACAGTTAAAATATTCTTCAAAATGCCATTTGTGTTTCACAGAAGAAAGAAAGTCATATGTTTGTAACAACATGAGGGTGAGTAAATGATGGGTAAATTGTGCTTTTCATTTTGGGTAAACTATCACTTTTACTATCCCTTTTACATTAAAGATATCCTAATAGACGCTGTTCACATTTTGAAGAACACCTTTCCCTTTACCTGTGTAAACCTTCTGTGTTTGCGAGATACCCTCTGGTTCTTCGGTTTGACAGAGAGTTTGTGTTTGGCAGCAGTATTGTCCAAGCGTGGGACAGACTGAGGGACAGCATCTAGATTGATGGACTCAATTGTGCCAGGGGGAGGTGGGCGCTTAGAGCGTGGGGATTTGACTGGAGTTCTGTGCTGGACCTTGTCATGGCTGACAGCCTAATTGTAAAGCAAAAACACAAACAACCTTGAGTTTGTGACTATGGGAGAGCAGGGTTCTGAAGCATGTTATATGTCTATGGAATCAATAGCCACTTTTCCACTGTCCAACCAAACTGTTCTCGTTGCTTAAATTGTATGAGATGTAAATAACGACCACGTTATGGAGGATTCTTTCAATTTGATCATTAACTTCTGTTTACTTCTCTCAAATAGCACACTTGCACAGCTGCAGTGAAACTGGTAGCCAGATAACAGACAAGAGACCAATTACCCACATTATACCAGCATGGTTAGCCATCCGTGCTGAAAATTCCAGGCCGAGAACGGATTGTAATAGTGCCATGGCGAACCAAGTTCAAGTGGAAATATAACTGGAACTGTTCCTTACCATTCTTAGAACGTTCAGCCCGGCGGTGGAAACGTGGCTAATGTATTGATAGTCTCATGATATTACAATTTTTTGCAACTTTGCAACTAGAGCATGGCATTAGCAACAGCAAGTTACTGATAAAGTGTATACCATGAATGCATTTTTAATTGATTTCAATAATTGTGCCTTCCAAGTGCATAAATGTTCATTTGGCAAGTGACGGAAGCTTTCTTAGAACATTACTTGCTAAAACAGAGCAGTGATCTTTAACCGTGCTTTCTAGTATATAAAGTGTGACTGACATAGCAATACTATGTTACTATATGTAAGTAGTGGAAAATAATTTGGAGATTAACTTACTATTTCCTTGGCTTCAGTCTCCTGTGGTTCATTCTCCACCTGAGCAAGAACCCTCAACGGACTTTGTGGTACCTCTTCCTCATCTGAGCTACCTTCATCTCCCTCACTCTTTCTAAGTGATGCGGGTCTCTGACCAAATTTGATATTATGTCCAATTTGCTTCTGCCAACAAAAGCATAGAGAGTAAAAGAATGGACAAATGTTGTTTAGCCCTAAACATTTAGACCTAAAGTTACCAGTATTTCTTGACCTTGATGGTAACAAAAATATCTAAAATAAAAAAATTCAATCTGGTGTAATGCTAATATCAAAATTAGTGTTAGAAAAGTCTGGTGCATGGCTTGACTGTGTGCATATGGACATTTTTAATGATGCTATTTGTGTAGAGTTTCACCTGAATGTTCTTGACTTTGTCTGAAACGTTTTCCTGGGACATTGTCTGTCCTGGATGTGTCTTCTCTGACTCCTCAGGGATAAATACACTCTCATGTGAAAAAGCTCGGGACCCTAGGGTGTTTAACTCCCTGTGAATGCAGATATAAACACTTTTTAAATATAGCACATCTGTGAATGTTTTCAATACACAATTCAACAAATAAACAACTTTGACAGCATCTAAAATAAAGTACTTTAGCTGGGTCTGGAATTCATAATCAATGCATAATTATTATGCATTGATTATGAATTCCAGACCCAGCTATAGTGGTTCTAAATACATAAGAGAATTACCTTAGATACTGATTGTTCTCTTCATTAACTGTGGCCACCCCATTGCAGACATTATCAGTGGAATGGCTAGGTTTAAGTTCAGATCCCTCAAACCCACGTTCTGCTTCCCTTCTTTTCTTCTTACCAAATAGACGCCTGAATGGCTGGAATTTGCCGTGCCGTCGCCGCTCTGGTAAAAAGTGGGGGCAAAGAATGGTGATAAATAGTCAACAAATAGTAAAAGGCTAGTGCTAGTGCTGTCCATATTTAAAAATAAGCATACAGTATTTTTTACACTAGGTACAGTAGATGTACATTATGTGAGCATTTTTAATTAATGTTAATGAAATGGAGGACCAGAACAGATCAGACGCTATAGAATCAGGTTATATCATGTGAAAGCCTTGTATGATTATGGTGACCAGATGTTCCATTTAAACATCAGTTTGAGAAGAGAGAGGAGTCATGACGGGCTTTACTTAAAACTCTTTGGGAGTATTTACTGAAGGAAAAATCCCTCCAAGATGCATTTAAGATTGATACCAATCCAGCCAATCAAATGCATACAAAATGCGAGTTGATCAAGTGTAAATTTCATCATGTTGTTCAAGCTACGTTCTGTATGTAGACATTACTCTTGAAAATGTTTTTGCGTCAGGATGAGCCCCGCAATCCACATGTGACTAGCAATCATGTATGAGACATACGGATGTAGCAACTGCAAAACTTTTTACTTCAATAGATGACTCAAATAATCCTTTAGACTACCAGAACACTGAGCATCACGTATTGTGCAGATTTTTAATAAATTCAGGAGTGGTATTACAGGTGGATGTTCCTCCCAATCTATCTAAACATCACAGCTTGCTCACTGGTGGTTTTGTAAGGCACTATTCTTTTTAAAGCTGCTTGGATGGATAAAAAGTGCTATACAAATAATTGAAACTCAACTGGATTTGTAGCTTATATTTAATGCTAAATAAACTACTTTGTTTTCCATCCGTTACTTATGTTGACAACATACCAATTGAGAATTAAATCTGAGCTTCATTACCAACAATCAAGCACGAAAGTATGAACAACTAATTCCTAACATGTACAAAAACAATCTTTAGAGAATAATTTACAGAATAATTCACAACCTACCAAATAAAGTGGAAATCTGCAGGTGGAAAGTGTATCTGACTGACTGAATCACACAGTTCCCATGTAATGACATTAAACCAATGATAAGACAAAGGACCTTTGGTTTGTATGGAGAGCTCTACAGACGCACCATTTCCTGAGACTAGAAAGTTATTAGGAATCATAAACGCTACGGAGATAAGACTAGCTCAAAAAGCACTGTTTATGAATAAAATTACATATAAAATAAAATATTATTTCTGTTTAATAGTTTGGGCTCTGAAAGATTTTTTCATGACGATTTGTTTTCATGATAGAAGTCTCTTATGCTCACCAAGGCAGGATTTATTTGATCAAAAATACAGCAAAAACAGTAATATTGAGAAATATTATTTCAATTTTATTTGAATACATTTTAAAATGTAATCATTCGAATATGCTGATTTAATGAATCCCTTCTGAATAAAAGTATTAATTTCTTTCAAAAAAATCTCACTACAAATTTTAAATTGTAGTGTACAAGTTTCCCTTTTTGATAGTCCGCTACCTTAATTGTTCAGTTCCTTCCTGTTATGTATATGTACTTGTATGTGTGATTTTTGTCTTACAGCCTGTAGGTCACTTCTTGGGTCTTTCTGAAGGTATAAAAGCCATAAGCACTCTACCAAGCAAGAGCAAAACATATCCAGGCCGTCGTTTCTGTTTCTGAGTACGTGTTTGTGTGCATTTCTAAGGCTCATCAGTGTGCGACTGTATCTCTGTGTTGTAGGAGCTCCAAGTGAAATGGCTGGAGTGACAGGGCCACTCTACACCACAGAGTAGATCAGTGTGGATCTGTTACAGGCTAAAATTGGAAAGTAGTGTGGAGTTACACAGTAAGTGTGTTGCTGCTCAAAACACAATGGCACAATAACAAAGAAAGTATAAGACGTTTGGTACCTGCCGTCAGTGGCCACTTCTGTTGTTCCTTAAGTTATTATCGTTCCTGAGTTTACTGCTTTACGAGCGCATATGACAGGTGGATTTTATGATTTCTCTTATTTTGTCTCATCATTTCCCCCTCAAAGCCTCGTCCAAGTCACAGTCTGTTCCCAGCTGCAACTACTCCATTTCTCTGGCCCACAATGCAGTGCTGCAGGCATCCTCAATCACTGAGGCATATGATGTGAGTGGACACCACTCAGCCAGAGAAACAGCCCTCGATGTGTCTCCCTTGTACTCCTCCATACTACAACCACTATACACTCAAATACGGCCTTCCTGCTCCTATGAGTGTCAGTACTGCTAAATAAATTCACTCAGACCTGACTGTTCCTCTCACTTCTTTACAAAAGCTTAAACACACTTAACAACATAGGAATGCTCAACCCTGCTCCTCATACACTTGTTGTACAATATTTCTCACTAGTGCAGCAAAGCCAATAACCCATTTTCTTTTCTGTCCCACTGCATGTGCTACAACTGAACCTGACTGTTCCTCTCACACTCCAAATCTTGGCATTATTAATTGATACATTTATCATACATCTTTTCTCAGCAGTATATTTGTTTTCCTATGGCACACATTCGTAAAAACATTTAGAATCGAGCTCAAACTAAAACATGCCACACGTCAACCATGCTGAGAAAGAATGAAACAAGTCACACGTGGGATATTAATAGTTAAACATGGTTATAAAGTTTGAGGGCAGAAGGTTCACACGGAAAGGTGTGTAAAGCAACAATAACACGCGATTATGTCATATTTAAATGACTTATAATTCACACAGAAATGAAAATCATTTACTCATGCTCATGTCGTTCCAAAAAGGAGAAACTTTGGAGAATGTGATGGTCACTCTACTCCATGCAATTACAATGAATGAGGAGTGGAGATTTCAAACGTTATACAGGACACAAAAGCACCATAAAAGTGGTTAATGTGACTAACAGTCACTATTAACAGCTAACAGATCAAAATTTAAGGTGAAATTTAGGCATCCAGCTGCATGGATGAGAGAATTAGCAATAAAAGCTTCAGTCTTCCCAATCATTGCAATTGCATGGAAGAGAACATTAAAGAAAATCTTTCAAATAAAACCTTCATATTGGTTTTTAAAGACATGAGGGTGCGTAAATATTGACATAATTGTCATTTTTGAGGCACGCAGACAGCACACAACTCTTGATGTTTTTTGTCACTCATGAAACACCAAACAGTTCTTAAAGAGACAGTGCTGGTAATCTTTAGTGCATTTAGTGTGCTGCACTGCCACTTTAAGAGCAGGCCACTCGCAAAGATCCTCACTCTGTTTTTGTTTACCTGGGCCTTCAGATACTGTTACCTCTACCCGCTCATCAAGCTTAGCCTCCTTACTGTCCGTCGCCATGGTTATGACGGGCTTTGTCTGCATCAAGGGTAGAGGGGGGGATAAACGTGAACACAGAGGTATTTTTCTCTAATTGATGTGTTCATGTGTGCAAGTCTAAAAAGAAAATTGAAAGAGGAGATGACAATAATAGGAGATCACTTTCCCTTTCTTTTCTTATGGGCTCCTAAACTCCTAAACTCTTTCATAAAACCATATTTATTCAATGCTTCATCTGTTTTTAATATCATCATAATCTCATAGCTCATAGACAGTCTTCCTTTGGTCCTAGGTTTATTTCTTGCCATCACTTTTTTGCAAATAACAGGACCATCTATTTCTCTGTGTTGGGAATTGGATAAGAATTGAGGAATACAATTCCCATCTTGCAGATCAAACCCTTATACATTAATGGGACTGTACTCGGGTACGCATAAGTCTGGATATATGCCCAGTTATAATGCTCTTCAGTCATAATTTAATAATGTACTGCTGCCATGATAAAAGAAAATGTACACAAACATCTCATTTTGTTGTTTGCTGTATAACTGACAGCTCATATATAACTGTGCTTTCTCTGACGACTACAAGTAACTATTGCAATATAAATCAATATAATATATAAATATTCATTATTTCTTGTCATTTTTTTATTTAAGTATCTGTGTAATAATGTACAATGGGCTAATGTACAATCATCTGGTCATTATTGCAAAACAACCCTGTTGGGATTTATTTTTTTGTGATGATGATCAGCTGACTGTATGTCATTCCTTACAAAAAAAATGGAATGTAAGGAGTATATATGTACACAATAATTAAAATTTGTATAGAATTCTTATTTATCTAGAAAAAAAATCACTGATGATTTACAACATTGTAAAAAAAATGTTTAAATATTAGATTAAAAAACTTTAAAAACTTGCCTTGGCAACTAACTGAAATAAATATGTTTAAGTTAAAATACTAAAATGACTAAAACTAAAAATTATTTTTTTTTTAAAGAAAAGAAGAAAAAAAGAAAAAAATACTGTAATACAGTACTAATAACACTGGATTGTGGATGGATAGTGAATACGTTTTTGTGATGAAATTGCATAAAATAGGCACAATTGTTTAGTGAAGTGTGTGTACACACATGCTAGGGAGTGTTAGTATTAGTGTGTAATTGCAGAGTATCGTGTCTGTGGAGAACATCACAGTTATTTGTAGTGTGTAGTGTAGTGCACCTCCAGAGAGTGCATTATCACATCATATTTATGCCTGGTCAGCAATCTGTGCAAAATCTAAATGAATGGCTATTTAGAAAGCACTTTTTCTATCTTATGTTAATGGAACCCCCATAGGGCGTACTGTACAATGGAGCAAGATACAGCATATAGAAAAAGCAAAAATGTAATTTTTTACCACAGAATCAACTCAAATTCTCATGCACAATGTGCGCCTAATGTAATTTATATCAGTCAGTCCTAAAATAAAGCAAATGGTGTTTTTCCAAATTGCTTCTGGGATTCTACATACGCTCATTCAGAATGCCAGGACAGAAAATGCCAAGATTTAAAATGTCACTATTGTTGTTAGTTAATCAAAACTCATTGCCTCAAAACCTGCATGCCTTTTGGCAGATTAAAACCTTTTGCCAGCACAGCATTGCACTAACTGTTAAACACAGCAAACTGTAAATGATTACAGTCTTACGTCATCCTTAAGTCGTTTCTCTTTGTATGAGTAGACAGTGTCCTCTAACGGCTCCCAGGGTCATCCTAAAAGTTTCACTGTCTAAACAGACTCAGCTGCTGCTTGAATGGATCAATGTGTCTTTGTCTGTTTGTGATGCTAGTCCAGATGTGTTTGTGTTTGTGCACATGCACCTGCGGTACAAGTGTAAACGTGGTCCAAACCGCATGCGTATTCGTCATGTTCTGGCCCATGTTAACGAATGATCTTGCTTGTGTTGTGCGCATTAAAGAAGCTCCAGACAAAATGACGATGGCAAATGCACAAATCGCAGCCACATGCACTGCAGCAGGACACTGAAAACACCCCAGACAAACAGAAAAGGCTGCAGCAGAGCTACAGTGGGTTAGCGGCTAAGTTAGCTCTAGCTGCTACAGTGCTAATTTAACCCACTTGCTGAAGTTTAATGGTACAGACTGACCTCACTCACCAAGAACAGCTCTAACCATCATTATAAACATTTCTAGCACAGGCCTGCCTCTATTTGACCAAACCAGTGGGCTATAAAATGGGCTATAAGTGGATTCCTGGAATGGTGCCCCTGTGACTCCTGAACCTAAAAGCTACATGACTCATTATTAGCCGTCATACGATATCCCATAATGCCCATCATAAAGAGATTGAAATATTTAAAATAAATACATGGAAGATGAAAATGCGCTAGTGATCTGCTGCAGTGGCTAAAGTTTGTAACTCAGGCCACGTACACTACTGATCCAAAGTTTGGGATCAGTAAGATTGACATTGAAGACATTAAACTGATCAAAAGTGATAGATATTTATGTTACATGAGATGGTTTATGTAATGGTTTCTAAAAACCATGCTCAACTGTTTTCCACATTGATAATACCGTAATAAGATTTTTTTCTTGAGCACCAAATCAGCATATTAGAATGATATGGAATAATGAGGCTGAAAATTCAGCTTTGATATCACAGGAAAAACTTACATTTTAAAACATATTAAAATAGAAAACAGTTATTTAAAAAAATACTCATAAGAGACAAAAACATGAAAAAAATCTTACCGACCCCAAACTTTTGAATGATTGTAATGAATTATTTTTGCTATAGCTTTGTTAAAGAAAGCTTTACAGAATGCCAAACTTTCCAGATGCTATCTTAGAAGAATTACCATTGATTAAGTAATCTTTCCACTCAAAGGAGGCATAGAAGCTTCATTTGAAGCAGCATACAAACTACAAATGTTTGTAATGTGGCCTAGAGGCAACATAAATGCATTTACACTGGAATCACAATCTTACAAAATTGCTCACGGCCATTTTTTTAGCATAATGTTGCCTTCTGTGTTGATTCTCATGCACAGCTAATAGAAAACAACATGTGTGCTTATTGCTATGACAACAGCAACATTTAAGGCGGTTCTGATGTTGTATTTTATCTACACAGAACTAAAGGCTCATCAGATACTAGGGGAAGATGCAGGTCAGTGCCGCCGTATTTTTGTAAAGATGACCTACGTCACCATTATTTTAGCCAAAATATGCGACAGGGCTCGGAGCTGTCAGTAATGCCTGCACATTAAGCAAATCACACTTAATGCATTATGTATCAGAGGTGAAATGATCTTGCCTTGCACAAAGGCCCATATATTATTATGATAGCAAGCTAGCTTCACTCGTACAATGGGGCGGCTTGAATGTACAGCTAGAAATCACTGAAGCAAAATGGGATGGCTGACTGCGCAGCGTATAGCAAAGCTGGTCTAGTTGCCTGTGCTTACTGAGCACAAAAGCACACTTTTACCTAATTCAGCCGCACAGCTGGAAAGAGCTGCATACCACTGAAGGAAAACCTTAGGGAACATGGATTCAACCTTCTGCACCTTGATTTACAAAGCTCGGTTGCTGCTCCTTGGTGCTTTAGGAAAAAAATATAACAAAACCATTGAATCACAACTTATAGATCTCTAGTAATAGCATGCCTTATCTTAAGAGTGTTTATTGAAGTATGAAGGCTAATATTTCTAATTGTGTTGGTTCTGGATGAATGATGGTTATGGAGATCAAATGAACACAAATCTGTCATCAATAGCCCAAGACCTCAATGGATGTCAGGGTTGCCTTTCAAAGCTTGACTTCAGCATTATTAAACCAGGCAATTCTGATTCAAACATAACTCTTATGAAATCTGTGGCAGTGTAACTTGCAGTAGAATAAATTGAGGGGCCTGGGGCTAGTTGTCACAACTTTTACTTTGTGTGTTGGTGGATTTTTGGAAGTCAGTTTCTGCATACCCACCTTGTACACTATTGCCTAAAAGATAATGCCACAGTTTATGGGTTAAGCTGCCACGTTGGAACCAACATTTTAAACAATAAAAACTGTAAATATATGAAATTATAACATTACAATATATAAAACATGTAACAACTTGCCCCAACATATAATTTCTTAAAACTGTATGAAAATGTCAGAACACAGATCAACTTGGTTAAAATCTATAGTTGACTTTTCTCTGAATGTATGATAGTGTAGTTTTATTTTTGTGCACTTTTTACAAAAATATGATAATACTGACATTTTTGTTTGGTGGACAGAATTCATACAAATTGATCTAATTTCAGAGTTTGAAACCAACAGACAAACAACTGCAAACAAACAAGCTTTCGTACAAATGAATCTTTGACTCAAAACCTCATACGTAGTTACTTGGATATATGGCCCTTGTGACAACTTCCTCATGTAACTACAAGTCCTGGTCTCCCTATATAATATAACATATAAGTATACAATATAAATGGCAAATAATGATGAATTTGGATTTAAAATGTTTTTAAATATGTTCAACACTACTCCACTTAGATTCCAGATTCTCCAAACAGGCATTTTACGCAACTCCCTGTAGCTGTATTTTCACTCAGTATTTAGTCTGCAGTCAGCATGAGCAAGCTCTGTAGTCAGCCCTTGTCTTTTTTTAAGCTTGATGACGCCCTGAATAAGTGTGGAATTATGGGAGTTGTCATCTTCCCATCCACAGCCGATGGAAAGCAATCTGACGGGACTCAGGCAAAAATCATGTTCATGGATTAGCTTATATGTATTAAAGTTTTATTAACATAACTGTGGTTTGAAGCAGGGCAGGGCCGAGAGCCTAGGACATTTAACATTGCTGTTTTTATTATGCTTATATGCCGCAATTGGACACGGGCACTCTTTTTGTTGTTTATGTTTATTTTACGATTAAAGTTTACGTTTAACGTTCGCTTCCTTCCCTGAACTTGAACTTTCTTACAGTTACGCTTGATCACTTTAATTCACATTATTTTATTTTATTCTAATGAAACAGCCGCAAATGCTGAATTACTCATGTCTCTTTATTTGACAAATTAAAATTGTGGGGTAACGCAGTGCTGTTTTACTTGGTCAAAACAATCATACTAAAAACAAATTTGATTTGAGTGTGTTGAAAGTTATGTTATAACGTTACTCCGTGCATTCGCTCGGTGGCTGGAATGAGACACTTGTTGCACATGCTGTGAACTATCGATATTAGTAGTATATCATATTAATAAAAGCTGGATGAGTTGTGTTGCTAAATGGCATGAAATTCATTTTTTTTATTCTCTTATGATTTATAAATCATTATAACTGTTAGCCAATTGACAAAATAGTGTTGTCTGATATACGTTTTGGGTACGAACATATCACTGTAAATCAAGAAAACAAGACATTCAAACAATAAGACTAACCGTGTTGAGCTATATAATAATTAAGTTTTCTGTCCATAAAGGTATCCAAACAGTTGCTCACCTGTCTAATAAAACACATAGGCCTGGTTTCACAGGATTAGGCCTTAGTGCAATTTAAGTAGCTTTAATTAACATGCACGAGAAAAACAACATTACTGGTTTACATCTTCAGACATAACAATGGCACTGACATATTTTAAGATATGTCAGTGCAAGTTGCTTTCATTTAAAACAGATCAAACATGCACTTTAGTCTGGGACTAGGCTTAAGCCTCATCTGCGAAACCGGGGGATACTATTAAAGCATCTTCAATGGTGTTTCAATGGTTTCTAAGGAAGTAAAACTGAAATAGAGGGTAACACTGATATGAAATCATTGACAGGCGACATAATGACACGGGATGTTACACTGGTTAAAATGTCTGATTTCTTGTTGGGAACAATAACATTGCTAGTGGTTTTTGGATGTTTTAATCCAAAAATCTTACATATTGTGTCTTTAAATGGTATAATTTAATATAATAACTGTAAAAGAAGGAAAATGCAGGCCAGGAGTTCATCATGTGATACAGTTCACAGATGTGTACCCACACACGCAAACTATGGGACATTTCTGCCATTAACAAGTATTCAAATAAAACTTATAATAAAGATTATAACAAAAATAAATTAGGAACAAAAAACATACTCTAATACACATAAATTATATTTGACATATTCTTTGAAAATAAACAACGCACTGTTATCATTGACTATATATTTATACATCTATTTTCATTACAATGCATACGATAAGAAAGGCACAATGGGTCTTTGAGGATATGGGGCTGGCGAGAGATAATGGCAGTTTCATGAACAGAGGCCTATTGTGTTTAACAATATCTTGCCACATGCATTACACAGAAAAACGCTTGATCGCATATATGGTCGAAGGAGTACACAAGAATAAAGGCTTACCTGGTTGTCGATTTATCTGGGTAAGAGTCTAGTATGTATGCGTTTATGCATGTGTGGCTGTTCCACCTGCCTGCTGTTACTGTGGAGCTGCGCTATTACCTAGAGTCAGGTGTCACATTGCACAGGTGCAAAGAGAACTCAAGAATGCTTATAGCTGTGTGTTGTTGTGCGCACATGAGGACAAATATATCTGTTCCTTCATACGCCGTTTTGATGGTTAACAAATTATGAATTCACAAACATCTCCGTTATTGAATACAGTGTGAAAAAAGATGGTGTGCATATTCACACTCCCATAAAGTTCTCACAATGTATGTTTTTGTGTTCTTAGTGGGACGTTTGCATGATTTCCTATGTGAGATCTTAGTCGCCTGTGCCCAAGATACATTCACACATGTGACTGAAAACAATCCTAGAATGTGTCCGAGAGAAGAGAAAAGTGGGTGATGATGGTGAGGTAGTGTGCTGGTTCATACTGCTGTCTCTGTTGCTACTCACAGAATGCCACTTTGTTCATTGGCCAGCTTACCAGGGGCAGGAAGAACAGACATGCATTGATGATTTTAAACTGCCCAACACACACAAAGACTGTGACTGTAAGCTTGTTTGTTAGCATATGTGAGGATGCGTGTGTGTATTGTGTTAAAACTATTTCAAAGAACAAGGGCCTCCATTAACTGAACAAAGACGTGTGCCGGATCAATAACGGCACAAACTGCTACCTGTCTCCAGTGTCAGAAATCAACTGTATTATTAAGGGGCAATTTCAAGTAGCCTGCTTTTATGTGGGCATACTTATATTCAAACCATATAAAAACATGCCATGTGATACATTTCAGTTGAATCTATTACTTGATTAATATTCTCAATCAGAACATTCAGGCTGTTATGAAGTCATATCAACATCAAATACAAAAGTTGCTGTAATGCACATTATTACAGTACATGGCCCCACTTTATATTAGGTGTCTTTAACTTCTATGTATTTGTGTCAAAAAATTCATTGTTAAATACAATGCGTTGAGTTACTGAGTTCTTGTTTTATTGTTTGCTGCTTTTGAGGTGGGACATGGGTATGTGACAGTTAGGTTTAGTGGTATGGTTCGGTTAAGGGAGGGGTAAGGGGTCAACAGTGCATTATATTTTATTGTTACGCAAGTAGGTGTCGGCAAGTGACTGTCTTTATGAATCATTCATTCAAACGATTCGTTCAAAAACGCTGATTCATTCAGGAACAAAATAAGTGAATGTCTTTACGAATGAGTCATGGAATCATTCATTCAACCAATTTGTTCAAACATGTGAATACTTCCCTACTATATAGAAAGCAAAAAACAGTACGCCAAAAGAGTAGTGTGTCCAAATACATAGTATTCGAAAAACAGTAGGCGAAAAGTACCAGGATGACCTGTTACTTCCACTGAGATACTGAAGTGTGCATTTGATGGATTTACTATCCCATGAGGCCACTAGAGAGGATTTATGAACAGCAGTGAAGCAAATGACGCTGGTAGGTCACGTGACAGACAACATGGTGGATGTTGTACATTCATACCACCCATATTCATACTATATAGAACAAAAAATTTGAACAGTCTCGAAGTAAATTAAAATTCCAGTGTAGTACTTACAGTATGGGATTTCAGAAGCACCCCAAGTGTCTGTTGTTATGAGAGAGTCATTGATTCATTCACTCTACTGATTCGTTCAAAAATATTGATTCATTCAGCAACAAAACACCAGTTGTTTTGCTGTGTTTGCAACTTCAAAACAGGCAAAACAGACCAGTAATGGGCATATTGTGCAAAATGGAAGCTACTCAATATTGAATTCTTGTTTATTGAACTGCTGTTTAAAAACAATATTGCACACACATGTCCAAATATCAGCATAGTAGAGGCTACTAAAGTATAGGTATGCACTGTGGAGGAAATTGTTGCCCCCGCATTTTCAATATTTGGGGCATTTTTTCACCTTAATTTCAGACCTTGTCTGTCCATCATGTTGCACACATTCAAAATACACTGATCAAAATTGTTCCTTGGGTACTGTAAAGCAATTAGAGATCTCATAGTGTAATATGCCGACTCAAAGGACAAGAACACTTAGCAGTTAGCATAAACAATTAAACCTGTCATTTCTGCTGTCCTCAGCACTACAGAAGGGCATGTTCACTGAGTTTTAACATGATGGACTATATTTAGTCTATATTTAATAGACTATGAACATGCAATGCTTTCCAAAAGTATTCAGCCCCTATAAGCTGATCTGTGCAGTTTTCTTGATGTTAAAATAATGTCTCTTGTCTCTGTTTAATGTGCAGAGACATCTGTTGGTAAACCACTTGCAAACTAGACAATTAGTCCATGATGTCAGAGTGTGGCTCGCTCAACCAATTGGTGCGAGTTTGGAGCAGGACTACTTATTTGGACAATGAGAGATGGGGGCAGGTCAAAATGTGTAGTCGGCATGTTTGAGAAACCTATTGCATTATCAGTGGTGCGGGAATTATCCACTGCAGCTTCAACAAAGCTATTTTCAATTGTTTGGTTTCTGCTCTAAAAATAAATGCATTATAATGCTGGTGCTTATAGTAATTGTTAACATGAGATTCAAAATCTTCTGCACTGGAAGGCTGAGTCTTTCTTGCATGTGTTAAACTTCAGAGAATGTATAATGACTCACGCTGGCAGTGAATATTGGCGTTTAATAAAAACTCCCACAAAACAGACAGAAGGGAATCATCAAGGAATCAGATTCAATCTGAAAACATTACCTTTCAAGATCTGTAGAAGAACAGGCCAAGACAAGCAGCCCACTCTAATAAAGCACATGGCCCCCAGTGACCTTTAACTACAGAATATAAATCCACAGAGAACACATTTCTATCTAAATTTCTATCTACAAAAATCTATCTGTATTTGTCTATGTATCTGTCTATATCTATGTATGTATCTATGTATCTATGTATGTATCTATGTATCTATGTCTCTATGTATCTATCTATCTATCTATCTATCTATCTATCTATCTATCTATCTATCCATCTATCCATCCATCCATCCATTCAACGTATTTCATAAGTATAGTAATGAATAATAACTGTAGGGAATTGTTGATGGCAATATACTGACCAATCTTTGACAAACAAATTTTAGATGCTGGTGTGATGTGTTCCCACCAGGCTTTCTAACAAGCAACATTTCCATGGCCAACAGCTTCAGCAGAAAGACTATTACTCGTTGTGCTGATAAAGAGCCTAGGACCAGCACTAACTAGTCTGGACCAGCAAAATCAAAGTCTTGCTTCAGCGTTGTCATTGTAGGTCAAAGTTTTGTGTACTCAAGGCCTGACCTGTGTTCCGATAAGGTATTTTCTGTATAACATGACTTGCGGTTTGGGTGAAATTAGAGATGCTTTATTATTGTGGAAATTATTGCTGTGGAGCAGCAGCTATTGTATAATAGTGCACAGTTATAGCAGATTGAGAACTCAAGCTAAAACTTATATATTACTTACAGCATATAGTTGCTGATTAAAATGAGAGGAGGAACTGGGCTGAACCATAATGTAATTACAGAGCGTTCCCAGACAGACACACATTTCCTAACTGTGCTGTGTCCTCCTGTCGCAGTCTCTCTATCAAACACACACACACATACAGACACTCTTTTATTCTAAGAACAAACAGTTGTAAATAAAGGCATCTGCATGTTAGAACATTGCACTCATAAGAATTGGATAAATCTGTCCTTTGTTTTGTCATTCTGTCTTTCTAACCCCTCCATTCTTGCGTCTAGATCTTAAAATATCCCTTTTTGTACAGGAACTTGTGCAGTGTCATTGTTAACTGTGGTCTGTACTGATTGTGTTCGGCTACTTGAGATTTCTATCAATAGTTTTGTGTTCACGCTTCCTGCTCCACCTCACCACACAAGTCTTAGTCAAAGCAACAACCCTTCATATGAATTATTAAATGAGAATTCATTATTAATTATGAAATTATTCACATAGGATCTGAGGGTTTGGTGGAAAAACTTCAATATAAAAGTATAAGCAAGTTAAATATGCATGAAATGGACACATAATCATCGTGTTTACACTAATTAGGACAGAAAACCAACTGAACTCTGAAGCGTTCAACCTCAAATGCATGTGAATCGCCACTTGCCCCGACTAATTGACTGACCTACATGTCAGCAATAGTGTGTTCTAGTGTCTAGGCAACATTTGCCTGTTTCCATACATGCATTCAATTATATTGCTACTGTAATATGGCTATGAAAAACATATGAACACTTACTTCATGTGATGTTTTAAGTGTATCTCTGCTCAAGATCATGTTCTAATGATACTAAAGTGCAGATTGTGTTCCATTATATCTGAGAGGGTCACGTTACTCTATAAGTGCCTATTTAGACACTGTTTGGTAGTGTAATAGGGCAATATGAATTCCTCTTGGGATCAATGGTTAGCTCTATATTAATATTGTCTATCTGTGTTGTACTACACTAGAGGGCAATGTTATACCACATAATGTTTTGGGGCCAATGTCTCTCACGTCGAATTTGTGAGCCTACTAAAGTGGGTTTAATTAGGTCATATTGTTATGGAAAATAACATAACATCCTATAAAGTCATGTATAAGGCATACCCACTGCCGACTAAAGATGTGTAACCTTATTCAGATTATGCTGTGGGATCGCCTGTCACACAAACAAAAGCACAGACACTCCGGTCAAACACACATGGCCTTTCCTCTTCACTGGTCAACTTGTATTGATGCAGTACTTTTTATGGATTAATATTAATTGGCCTTTTCATTAATTATTTATAGTGGGAGGAAGCCTCGGGAGCAGTTTCTCTGGTTTCCTCTACTTGAACGCACAAATCTCCAAGATGTTTAAGGGGAACATGCCCCTGAACCGAGGTCAGCAGTGGGAACTTTTGAGGCCGTTTCCTGTCTTATAAATGGAAATAGTTTTGCCTTCAAATGGCAGGCCTAAGAATGTACAACTGACAAAGGAGTAAGGTATAGCTTGTGTGTCTAGTTGTGTATTTTGTGTATTTAAAGAACATTTCTTTCTCCTTGTTTTATCTTTTTTTTTTTATGTAACTTTATAATATAATATTTTGTCACAATGTAAACATTTTCAGTGAGGATTCATGATTTTTATTAAATTATGATTTATAATACTCAATTATTTCAGGCAAAATAAAATAATTGGGAGCTAAAAAGTAATGTATTTGACCCCGTGTCAACTTTTGTTTTTTAGCCAGATAAGAATGCACAATATTCGTTTTGATATTCGTTTGATATTACCAATTAACAACCCAATTAATTTAATTTTTCATGCTCATTTCCTCTATCTTTTACAATTACCATAATCTAACACTCACTTATTGTTAAAAATAAATAATTGAATAATAACACTGTGAAAATGGAATCTGTAGCAAATTCCAAATTGAATCATTTTTTCATTAATTCATTATAATTTAGCAATGTCTAAATTCACTTGCTATAGCATTTAAAACTATTTATTTTAGTTTTATGTTTAATCATTTCTGAGACGAACTAGTATAAAAAATACTTATGGGCATATCAGCCATTATTAGAAGCATGTGATCCAAGCAATTCAGAGAGAAATTACTGTGATTTAATTTCATTTCCGTACAAGAAAACAGTTAAAGATTACAGTTAAGATTGCTAAACCTCATCATCTGTGTCTGTACACTAAAAATCCATCCATCCATTTATGAGTTATAAGAAGTGTACAGTGGGAAGAAATCACAACCTTATTTAGTATGTGAAATGTTTATGTGTATGTTATTGATTTTATCACCCTCACATCACTGAGCCTTTAACAATAAGATCAGTGCTAGATATACGCTATAAACAACTCATGCATTAACACAACAACACGGGGTGTTTTGTGGACCTGGTAGCAAATACAAACAAAGAAACAAAACTGAAATTCAATTTAGAGTTCAGCATTACATCATCGTTACGTCATGATAAAAGAAGAAAAATTAGGCCAGACACTGTCTATTAAAAAAAGGTATTATGGGCATAGACGCCTTTCTTGCATTAATGAATGGCAATAAAACGTATCAGTGATGTATATTTGGCTTATCTAAATGAGTAACCATCCATGTTTTTTAGGAACGGGCAAAGCTATCGATGGCATTTTTTGCCACAAAAGCATGCATTGTGGCAGGTATATGCATCGTGAGAAAAAACGACACTACAGCTCAGGGAACCATCAATTGCCTGCACCAGTAAGCATATTATGAATGACTGACGACTCATAATTCAAATATTCAATGTTTGGCGAACATTTCATAAGCACCACTTAATCAAAAGGACTGTCATTCATAAATAAGCTAATAAAAGGCAACCTATGAAGGGGCCAGATGGATGTGATGATGCAAACGTATCGACGGTGTTTTCTACAAAATGACAGATTTCTTTATCATGCATTTCAACGCGAAATGCAGCTCGAGACATGTCCATGCCTCCCCAGCTGCGCACACATCTGTAAAGAATGGTGGATTTTGGAAGATGGGCTAAATGACAAGGTCAGTATCACCGACAAAGCTATGCAGTTTAACAAATGTTTGATAATCTCCTACCTCTCCCGCGTGTGACACGGCACAGCGATCAGTCCCTATGCTTCCTTTATTGTGTCTCGCGGCACTCGGTTATCTTCCATTCAAGTCGCAGCACGCGAGATGACCTCTTTGTGTATGTGTGTATGTGAATGTGTGTGTTGCTGATGCTGCGAGTGCTCGCCCTCCTCCTCGAGACAGTTCCGTACGCATTCAGTGCGCGCGCCGCGGAGGCGCTGCTTCTCTCACAGCTGCACGTGAAACAGGAGGGTGTGGCAGAGGCCGTTCACACAATAAAAACAGACCATTCTGACTAAATATTGCAGCTTCTACATATACACCCTTTTGATTTAATGAATGCGTAAGCAATGCATCTAAATGCAGGTCACAATCTTAAATAATTACAGAGATTGAAATTGTCCTCGGTGTCTGTTTATACAATTGTACACCGTTGTTGAGAATGGTCATTAAAATAATATACTTCACACGAGATATTAATAAACATATCTGCCTTTTAGGCCCGTTCACACTAAGAACGATCCACACCAAAACATACATTTTCTATGTCGTCTGGCACTTTAAATGCTCTAATTGATTCTGATTGGCTGGAAAAAATCGCTCTTATTAAAATGATTCAAACGAGATCTGAGACGGACTTCAGTCTCAATTATACATTCTATTATTATAATTATACATTGTAGCTACCTACCTAACGTGCTCAGTCGAGTAATTTCGTTTTTGGTTCTCAGAATGTCTTTAACTGCTCTTTTTTTTCTTTCTTTTTTTTTGGTTAGCCAGGAAAGTTTTCTTAACGTAAATAGAACGTTAGTGTTTGGTTCCCAGAACGTTATGAACGTTGCTTTAACTGTCCCCTAACGTTATTTTAACTTTGCTTTAACGTTATTCTAACGTTCCCAGAACGTTCCCCTAACCGGTAACACTTTAGAATACGGTTCCTTCGTTAATGAATAACTACACAGGAACAAATAAGTAACACAATATTAACAATCTAGTAACTACTATTAACTAACAAGAAATTCTGATTAACAAATTAGTAAGTAACAGCGCATATATGAAAGTGGTAGTTCACTATTAAATAATCGGTAACACTTTAGAATACGGTTCCTTCGTTAATGAATAACTACACAGGAACAAATGAGTAACACAATATTAACAATCTAGTAACTACTATTAACTAACAAGAAATTCTGATTAACGAATTAGTAAGTAACAGCGCACAGATGAAAGTGGTAGTTCACAATTAACTAATTGATAACTACTATTTTTTTATGCTTCCCAGAGAACTACTGAAGAATATTAATAGTTTATGCAAAACTAATCAATAACTAATGCAGGACAAATGACTAGCACTACATTAACATTAATAACTGCTGTAAACAAATACACACGGTTTATCAATATGTAATAGCATAGCAGACTTATGATTTGGGAAATAATTAGCCTATGCTCTCTCCTAGAGAACTATTTATCAACTGAATAATTTTAAAGGGGTCATATAATGGTACATGCACTTTTACAAGTTGATTGTACTGAAATGTGTGTTGGCAGTGCCTGTACACAACCATCATATAATGATAAAAATCCATCCAGTGTTTTTGTTTTAATCTCCTTATATGTTTTCCCCTGCCTCAAATTGAGCCGTTCGTTTTTGTGACGTCAATAAAACGGACGCCCCTCCCGCGATTGTTGATTGACAGCAGTGATTCAACACAGACCCGCCCTCGCTCGTCCTGTCAATCATAGTCCGCGCGGATCGGCGCGGTCATTGTTGATATGCTGGAGCACTGTCTATGAGCAGAATGGCGTCCAAGCGATTGTGGTGTTCTGTTCTTGGGTGCAATAACGAACACAGCAGTCATTTTAATGTTCCTAAATCTGAACCGCTGAAGACGCAGTGGCTGAGTTTGTTTTCGAAGGGAATATTCCCCACGAGCAACGTCAATGCTCTCATGTTTGCCGAATCATTTCTCAGTGGACTGCTTTATAAACGAGGATCAGTGTAAAGCTGGTTTTGCTGAGAAGCTGCACCTGAATAAAGGATCGGAACCTATTCGTGTTCCTGCTGAACCTTCAGAAGAACTAAAGTGAGTGTAACGTTTTATTAATCTTTATATTAATATTTATATTAATCTTTGCAAATCGCCAGCTGCACGCTTCACGATGAATGCGTCGGTTTACACTCAGGGTACATTACAGCATGTTTTCTATGTACAACGTTCTCAATATAATTCATAATCCCACGTTTATAATGAACAACGCGTTATGGTTATTGTGTTATTGTATTACAAACGGTGTATGCGCAGAACAGAGAGGCGGGGTGAGCAAAGCTCATTATCATTTAAAGTCATATGCACTGAAATGGCGTGCTGAAAACAGAGCTGTTTTTGACCAGGTAAAATAAGTGGTTTCTTACAATACTAATGAGAATTTTTAATTAAAGTATATTACAAACTTTTAATTTAGACCCTAAAGAATCATATTAGCTTGTACAAAAATGGCATTATATGACCCCTTTAAAGAAATGGCTTTTTAAATGCAGTCGTCGGGACCTTACTTGTCCTGTAGTGATTCAATGCCAGTCCAGAGGAATGCCAGAAAATTGGCCAGAGTCACGGTGACGGCTGGAACATATTGAGTTATCGGCCATCCAAATACCATATACAGTGATTTTATTATTTAACCTATACCTCGCAAAAAAAAAAAAAAGATTTTATTAATGTCTCCTACCTCATACGTGCGTGCAAATATCTTGTGAGGGATTAGAAGATTCTACACTTTAGGATTGGCTTTTCATGTAATAATCATGATAACTAACTAGTAATGACTCAAGTGTTACTACATACTTCTAAAGGAATGACTAATTATTTGGATCCGTATTCTAAAGTGAAGATCATGGTAACTAACTAGTAATTACTCAAGTGTTACTACATACTTCTAAAGGAATTACTAATTATTTGGATCCGTATTCTAAAGTGAAGATCATGGTAACTAACTAGTAATTACTCAAGTGTTACTACATACTTCTATGGGAATTACTATCTAAAACTTCACCAAAAACCTCAAAAGCTTAAAAGAATTAGTAATTCCTTTAGAAGTATGTAGTAACACTTGAGTAATTACTAGTTAGTTACCGTGATCTTCACTTTAGAATACGGATCCAAATAATTAGTCATTCCTTTAGAAGTATGTAGTAACACTTGAGTCATTACTAGTTAGTTACCATGATTCTTACAGTAGTTCTCTGGGAAGCATTAAAAAAAGTAGTTATTGATTATTTGGTAACACTTTAGAATACGGTTAACCTCTTTCAGTAATCATCCAGCTCCAGCACACCCCGCGACCCATTAGTCTACCCTATAGCCTAGTATGGGTATGGATGATGTATGGACGTCTATAATCAGTATTATACAAAACACTTGTTTTTATTTATTGTTTAATTAAAAAAAAAATAACCCGAGCACATTAACCATATTGAAGATTAAATCAGATAATTAGATTAATTCAGCTCCATTTACTTTTATTTAAAAATAACCACCATGCAACGTTCTGGAATGGTTGCAAAAAATAGAACATTAGAAGGCAACTATTATTGGTTCTCAAAAACAAAAACGGGAACCAAATACGTTAGGGGGACGTTCTGTGTTTGCTGGGTTACTACGTGCTGCTACTGGTTAAAATGTCAGCTTTTCACAGGCAAGCACTTTTGGCTTGGAAGTTAATTTACAAGCATTTTTTTTTTTTACCACATTCACCACAACAGTATTATATCTGGAATAATTGTACTATTTTGTAAGTTGCTTTCTTCCTTAAATGTGAGGTCTATATTATCACATTATCATACTATTTGAGCGATAAAAGCTTCATGTATCAAATATGATACAAAATATTTGTGGGTCCTGATAATGCCAAATGTCTGATGTTAAAGGGATAGTTCACCCCAAAACTCTGTCAGTAATTACTCTCCCTCATGTTGTTCCAACCCCGTAAGACTTTCGTTCATCTTCAGAACACAAATTAAGATATTTTTGATTGAATCTGAGAACTGGATCACTCCTCCATAGGCTTCATTTCCTTCTAACAGCGCAGCGCTTCTGTGTTGTATGTCACACGTAGGCTCACTATTGGCCGACGCTGGTCATGTGTGTGACGTACAACACAGAAGCGCTGGGCTGTTACACTATGTGAACTCACTCGGGGCCCACAGAGAAGGAAATGAATAGTTGAATAAAGTCATTATTTTTGTTTGTTTTTTGCACACAAAAAGTATTCTCGTCGTTTGCTAAACTTAAGATTGAGCCACTGTAGTCACTTGGACTATTTTAATGATGTCTTTAATAACTTTTGGGCCGGCGAGTTTCGATCCCTTAAGAAGCCTATGGAGAAGTGATCCAGCTCTCAGATTTAATAAAAAATATCTTAATTTGTGTTTCGAAGATGAACGAAAGTCTTACTGGGCTGGAACAACATGAGGGAGAGTAATTACTGACAGAGTTTACATTTTGGGGTGAACTATCCCTTTAACTGTAAAGTAAAGTATGTGGCCTACATTATTTGGCCATCATACATATATAGTCAGTGAAAGAGTGCAAGCATATTCGTCTTAAATAATTCTGTTTTCAGCTTCAGAATCATGAATATTGTTATTCTGGCGTCTCTATTGTCCTGTGCTTTGGGTTTCCAGCACAGAGTCCAAACCTATTCATTTACACACACAATGTAATATCAAATTTAACATTTTAATCAACAATACTTTTTTTGTTAACCTTTTTATCATATGTCTTGGAGTATCTCAATAATATCGTATCGTGAGTTCAGTATCGTGATATGTATCGAATCGTAAGATGAGGGTATCGTTACACCCCTACTTAAAAAGCATTGGACTACCTGCAAAAAAAAAAAAGCTTCAACAGACTTAGAAATTCAGTTTTTGCTGTTGTATTAAAACTGATATTGAGAATTGTGAAACCATGATGTATATTGTTACTGTGAAGTCAGATTTTGGGTCATATTCTTTGCTAGAAAGCAGAAAAGGTTCCCACAGTTTTACATGCAGTATGAATTTTTTAATAGTGTTCACAAGTAATCGACTACATTGTAACCTGGTCAGAAATAAGTATATAAATGGCTGCTATTTTGTACAAGTTTATTTGTAATGGCCAGCAATTAGGCCTATGTCGTTTC